AATTCTTAGCAATTCGAGCACAGTGCGTACAATTTTTACCTTTTTACTGGTCGAAGCAAAAAACCTTTCACCTTGTGAACAACTACAAATACTCCTCACAAGTATACAAACGCCTGGAGTGGATGTCACATTTCTTTCTTCTTGATATTCCACACACTGCTGAAATCCCTGCAATTATTTCCCAGAATAATTTCTTTTTAATCGAAACAATTGAATTTGTACATTACTGGAACGATGAAATTAATTGAAAATGAAAAGAAATTGAAAAAAGGAAAGTCGTAAATAAAAGAACATTAAAAACGCTACGTACTTTCCAACAAACTCCAATATGTTGACAGTAATAGGTGTAGTTATAACGAACGACTGTGAAAACCTTATACATATAACTGTTAACAGTAATGTTAACTCTGGCGCCTGTCATCGCAAGAAAAGTAAAATAAGGATTATTTCAATGAAAAAGAAAGTCATTCGCGTAGATATCTACATCGTAGCTTGCGGTAGGTCGTTTGAATCGCTTCCCCCGAAGATACGTCACATATTCAAGAGAATTCAAAAACGTCTTATCGGGTCGCGAGAATCTGTTTCTCGGGTTCTATGACGCGATCTACGTGATCAGCTTGAAAACGATCCGACGCACGGGAATCCAGAGTTCTGTTTCATTATCCACGCGAGCTGACGAGCTTCCACCTAAACACTGGTTCGGCCGAAATTTGCCTTTCAAAGTGGGAGGGGGATTTCACGAACAAGGATATACGGTATTTCTGGCTAGTTGCTGATACACGGGGTGCATACGTCACGCGAGATGAGAATGAAGTTCGTTTACCTACACGGTACGAAGATCTGCATATTAAAGCTGCGCATATTTAACTACATCGCGCAGCACTCTATTCGTTGCTCGTTCCTTTCTGACAAAAATCACGAATACTTCAAATGGACTAAACATTAATCATTCGACCATTTAATAATTTACCATATACGAACCATTTAGTCGAAGAACGGCGAAAGGTGGATGTTGTATTGGAATCTCGGGAAGGTTCGGAGACACGAATGCGCGCACAGAGCGTGAAGTACGATGTCGAACAGTCAAAGAAGCCTAAACGCGAAACGGTTATTCGATTGGGTTAGCGTTGCAAAAATTTCTTAACCTTTTGAGTTTGATAGCCTGAAGCAACGAGGAACACAAAGACCTATCATATGATATTAAATTTTTCGTCACGTATCGGCCTTTCGTTGTACGTGAACGGTGCCGCGGTATTATCTCTCGTTTTTTTTCTTTTTTTTTTTCTACGACGGTCATTTTGCCCGTAGTAATTTTACGTCATCGGTGGTATTCTAATAGGATAATAACAATCTTGCCGAAACCAACGAGAATTTACGTCCCTTTATTTAACGGACACTTGGTCCGTCGAAACGAACGATCCTTTTCCTCAAAAGCCGGTAATTACATGCACAAACTTCGAACTCACAATAAAATTATGGAGACTGAATTCTTGACGGATTAGTTTGCGAACTATATACTAATCAATCTCGAAAGTTCCAAGGCAGATAGTATTAACAGCGAAAAATTTTCTTTTTTACGACCAGTTTAATCATTCGAGTAGATCTATCATTCTACGAAAGACCAATGTCGTAATATCCTTCCGGGTCTACTCAGTTTTCGACCTGTGCCACGACACTTTTTATCACTCTGTGACGCAGTGGATTAAGTAATGGATTATATCATATTTGTAAATGCTACACTACGTTTGATTACTTTATGCGAAAACACTGTAAATAGCAGTGACAACGATCGTTATTATAGGTATCGAACATTCGTCTAGAGCTGTATAAATACGCAACGAACATCATCCAAGCATGCGTGATTATTACCCGTCGCATTTGTTTACCCCATCGCATCACGGTGTTTTCTGTTGACAATAATATCTTCTGACATACGTGTCCGTGTACAAGAGGAACGATAAACAATGATTATGTAGTACAATTGATATTCAGAGTAAGACCAAGGAAAGCACCGATAACGTTCATGGTCACTCGCGCTCGAATATTCGGGTCGTGGATCTACGAGAACGAATCTGCTCAGTTAACGAGGCTGCCTGGCCAGAAAGAAAGTGTTGTCCGTGTACGAGATACGTTGCTCGATTTCTTATATTTTTACCTGTTGACGATCGAGCAAAACCTGAAGCAGCCGTACGTGGCAGCATGGACCGAACGGCAGGTGTATCAAACTATCAACCCGATTCACTCGTGGATGACAAAGGAAAATTACTTGTCCTTCCATCGATGATAGAAATTCAGCAAGATTTCGATCGATGGAACATAAACATCACAAAATAAATATTAACCTTCGATAATGTAAAAAATTCTTCGTGAACCACTTCAGTCAATAAGAAGCTGATGAGTGCAACGAAAAGTCTCCAGTGTTCGAAGTTACGAAACAACGGCCACGGGGACAAGAAATAGATGATCTCGTGAGCTATAATAGATCGCGTCCTTCCATATAATTTCCAGCAGCTGTCACGAGGCTGTGTCAAGAAATCGAAGAAACGATCGAGGATTTTTCCAGAAACATGTAGTAGACCCGACAGTCATTAATCGTGACGATACGTTAATTCCGACACGGCGAAATCATCCGGTACTTGCGGTCGGTCGGGGGAGGGCGTGAACTCGAGGAGCAGGTTAATCAGGCCCCGTTTCTTCGTCGTTGTTCCATCGGGAACGGGTGACCATGGACGAGGCCGAAAAGTGAATGGCCGACGAAAGTCTTTCGTGAAGAAGCGGCGCAGTGTGGCTAAAGTGTCTGTAGGTCATACACATGGCCCGGTCCATCGATTCCAGATGGCGGAAGAGAGGACCCCGCCTTCGCGTACAAGTGATTCTTTAGTCTCTCGATGACTCTTTAAGGGGTTATGCTCAGTCAGGAGACCGAAAAAAAGAGTAATTTTGGGGAATTTCTTTTCTTACAAACTGTGACACCTTTTTAAAAAAATGTTTTTGTATTGGAAACAGTGTATTTTAAAGAGTATCTCATAATTATTTATTAAAAGATTTATCTAATATATTAAATTGTTTACTCTTCGAACGAACGACTTTTGGGGATGTTTACATGGAGCAGTTTACAGTCGTAACAAGCTGAATTCACTATAATGCGTCGAGGCTGGCTCGTCTCGTAGCGGAAATAAAATAACCTTAATCTACTGCACTGGATCAGGGAAAAAGTAGTGACCCATTACACACTCCAAACTATATATCTTGTCAATGAATTGACTAATTATCTTGTGTAAACGAACGAACGAACGCTTAGAATACATAACTACTCGGGATCATTGGTGGTGATTTCGATGCACGGTGTAGCAGTAGTACGCGTAACACAAGTTCCGAATATGACTTTCGTTATTCTTCTTGATTGTAGCAATTTTACAACTGCAATGATATTCTGGTAGTAAAAAAAATATATGAATTATCCTTTTCCTTAAAAGCCCGCGATCTTGTTCATCAATTCTGAATCACGATAAAACAAAGAATATCGAAATCTCGATAGATTTTTATCGATTGGCAGAAGATTGTGATAGGAAGATTTATATTTCGAGCAATAATGGAACGCCTCGGAGATGAGTGTAACCGTTGACGCAAATTGCGCAAAGAACGTTGTCAGTTACAGATTGTGTTGTTTAATTATTTAATTTCCGTCGCGATAAGGACACAGAACAGGCGATTTGTCTAATTATCAATGTCGAGGACTTTCCACAAAAACGAACACAGTAACGCAAGCAAGCGGCTTTTTTATCAACGAGAAAGGAAATGTTAAACGACCATCGGGATGATCGCATTGTTACGTCTTCCGGGTAAGGAGTTGGTAAACAGTTCGTAAACATTACGCTGAAGGGACAAAAAGTAATTAATAACCACTCGAGCAAATCAAAAACAAGGATCGTAAAAAAGTGAAACCGAACTAAAATCAACAATTTTGAAAATGATAAGGATCAGCTAGTTAATATCGTTAAAACAGTAGTGCAAAATGAATCAAAATTTAATTCCGCATATTCGATACAATCAATAAACATCCTGTATACATATAAGAACATAACATTTAAAAAACCTTCAGAACCGGTTCAGGGGAAAAAGGAAAAAGAATTCAACAGAACGAAAATGAAAATCACAGTGAAACGAGACTTCCGGCCCGCGGTACAGTAAATCCTCTGTATAGAAATCGAAATTTCGAGTCCCCAGCAACGAATAAGCAATGGAGGTGGTCGGCCGTAGTTCCGAACGACCTTGGCCAGAGGGTGTGTGTTAACTGTGGCTCGAGAGGACGCGAGACGCGAGTGCCCCTCTCTCCGTCACGGAATTAGAACGTGTTAGGAAGGGAGACCTTGACTCCCCGTGGCATGGGGATTTTCAGGCGATCACCTAAGGCCCACACGCCCCCACCCCGGGCCGCCTCTCAACCGCTTGCTTAACCAATACTTAAACCGCGGTTTCGCTGCGCCGCGGACTATTCAAGCAGCATCGACCGTTGGACCCGCATTCTGTGCATGTGTCTTCGCGAGAACGCGTGGACACGCTCTTCTCGTACATCCGGTATCGAAATCGAAAACGACACACATAGACGCGCGCGTGTGAAACTCAATCGGGAACGTTTAAACACGGGTCGCGACCGCGAAACCGTGACTGGATGTTCTCACTCGCATCCCTTTCTTTGCCGTCGAAAACGCGACGCGTGTGACCGAGGTGTGTCCAAGGGTTGCGATTTACCCAATATCTCTAAAAGGACTGAATGATAGTGTACGGAGTATCTAGTCCGAGAAAACAGAGGAATTCCACCTGAAACAACCAAGGACGTCCTTCAACCCCTCCTCGAGTCTCGAACGAGGCGGCCCTTCGGTGCAATTGCGACCGAGTTTCTTTGACGTCAGAGAGGTTCCTGTGATAGCGAGGAGGTTGATACGGGCCGAGGCGTCCGGTGAAGTGAAGTGGCAGGAAGTTTACTTTCGAACGCGACACCGTTTTCGTCGTTAAAAAGGAGGTGAGTCCCCGTTCCAATAAGTCTGGTGATTGTTGATCGGTAATTGTTAGTCGTGTTCGGTGACAAGTTTCGTGAACCTTGATAACTTCTCCGCTGCTATGTCGCGACTTCGAACATGTCTACGGGAACCCTATACCGACACTGGTTTTATTTCGAACGGTTTTGTTTTCCGTACTGCACGCCGTGAAATGGAAGAGCATTATTGAGAGCAGAAAAATGGTGTCGGAGAAAGAGAGACGTGTAAAGTGGGGAAGGAATTCGATAGTGTGCCGTTCCGAAAGCAATCAAGAAACGAGTTGGAAGAAGTAGTTGATGCGTTTAAAGTACCAATGCAACAAACAATCGAATCTCGGGTAACATTAATTGAACTTAAACGACCGATTAATGCTAACTTGTATCTCCACTCGTGCTCCTACGCTGTTTAGTATGAAACCAAAAAAAGATAACAAATCATGAGGTGTCCAATTAAACCTTAAAAAGGACAGACTTGCGTTGTTCATTTAAAGTAAAAATAGAACTCTTAAAATTTCATCGTGTATTGTCAGAAGTACAGTAATAAACCTTTGTTTAGGGTGTACAGAAGTGCTGGCAAAAAAGACTAAACGGATAGAAAATTGTTAATACAGTAATTAATTTTTATTTCGCGTACGAGATAATTTCTATATCGACGCGTTACGCTTTCCATAATACCGGGCCTCGCACTTTCGAGCGTTAGCGAAGCAAAGAAATAAACTTATCCAGCGCAGTCTCCTCGTTCGATTCTTGTCTGACCACTCGGGCGCGTATTCTACTCGCGACGAGGCCTTCTGCCGTGGCGAGTAGAATACACTGCTAATTGATCAGACAACGCAGTCACGGCGTGGAACGCGTGGGTGTAATGCCTCGCAACGATACCTGTTGTTTGTCGAGACGAGTTTCTAATCGTTCCTGTGGCAACGTTTACAAGTTACCTGGATCTTATAACAACACGAGCCACCCAAAGACGTATCCATACAGAATTCCGGGTCTCACCTGTGTGACCGATTTCTCGACTAGGTGTTCTCGTTGAAATTTCACCGCGTCCTAAATTATGCAACACAAAAGTGCAGTTTCCTTATCAGATTCCACCGATCAGAACCGCGAACTACGGTGCATCAGGTCGCAAATTTCGAAACATATGATCCGCTCGCATAAGTAAACATCACGAAGACGACGAAGATTTTTAATCGACCTGTTTGCCTTTTACCCAGACATTGTAGCTCGTATCTAAACGTGGTCGGAACGAGCTCGAACAAACTAGCCAGTTGTGATTCCAGTGACCTTCGAACGATGGAAACATTTTGGTAATCCTGTACGCGATTGAGGTATAATACATCTTCGGTGACCAGAACTAATCCCAACGAAAGTGTTTCGCTTTTCTTTGACGCGAAGTGGCTACTTCGATGCAAGCATCGAACATTTCTCGGGGACGGCGTCTGGACGGTTATCAGTGCGCGTTAAACTTGCGCGTCGAGAAAATGAAAAGTACAATAAACGAGAAACGAGATTTATTTCGCGCTGACTGACGTGCATCGACGCCCGAGAAACAAAAAGGAATGAAAATATGAAATACCGTGTGTTACGCAGTTGGTAGGTGGAAGGACATAAACAGGTCCATAAATCGCGCGACAATATGCACGTTGCGGGGCAGAAACGGCGCGAAAAAATGCCACAGAGATATAAACTGAGAACAAGGATCGGCTCGAGCGTCGTCGTCGCGGTGACATGGTTGCGTCAGAGAGCTTGGGGAAGTCAACGAGCCTCCTCGGATTTGTATTAGGACGACGTGATAGTCCCCTACGAAGGTTAATTTCTACGGTTGAATGACATAATTCTGACGAACGAGATTTATTATGGAAACGAATTGACTCGCGGCCTGCGGTCAACCGATTTGTCGTGTTACGTTCACGTGCATAAAACGGCGATCTTTCGCGGCTTTAAATTTTAAGCGCAATGGAACAGCTTCATCTTTCGTTAATTTATCGTCACATATTACATAACAGTTACAGAAAGAGAATTTGTACATCGACATTCTTGTACGATGATGAAATCTCGCGGAATAATGATGACAATGGAGAGGTTTATTGCACTGACGCTTGAAAAATTGCCAGCTTCACCACAAAACAATAAAATGATAATTGTTTGAAAGCTTCAATCTGAAACGGTAACAACGTCGAGAAAGAATATCACGAAAAATAATGAATAACTACGATTGAAGGCAGTTACAAGAAATTCGCGTATCGAGGGTGACAATAAGAATTTTTGACAAGTTGAAATAAGGAATTTTTCGTCCGGGAATTTATCACGTATAAAGTATACACGCAAATGCAATGGTGTAGATTTAACGCTTAAAATGAATTTTCCTCGTCTAGAGAAGTCAGAGAATATATAAGATGAGACGGTTGTTTTTATTATCTTAGTAGTTAGACCTTTTTCCGCCAGTTGCCGATTGAAAAGCACCCAGGTTAAAAAAGTGTGTCAGGTGTATTCGCCCGGTTCGAAAGAGAATGCTACACGAAGCAACGCGTGACCTATATTAGAATCGATTAACCTACGAAAAACTTGTCGGATCTTATCCGAACACACAGCGCGTTATCATCGCCGCCGGTGATATACTGGCCTATCGAGGATCCACCACGTTTCCTAAAGCATTTGCATTAAGGAGAAATTCGCTTTCGAGCAACGAGTGGCACGTGTATCGGAATGTGACCAGGAAGATGAAACGCCTTAACGATTGTAGAGCACGGCAGCTTTTTTCGCGAAAGGTACGCGAGAAATTTGTACTTTTTCCTCGTTGAATGATCAATTTACCCGAAGCGTTTAGATGTTTCTTCTCCCGATCGGAAGCGTTAACTAGTCCGTTTTACGTGCGAACGGTTTCGTAAAAGTTCGTTTCCTCAGCCAAGAGCCGTTAAACGTGGATTAAGATCGTAGTATTCGAAATAGCTACTTAACTTCATCGATACTGCTTTGAACTTATGTGACTTTATTTTCATCTGTGGTCCACAAAGATAAGAAACTCGCAATCTTCTTCTCCGATTCATCGTTAATAAATAACAGCTCGTTTTTCGTGGATTGCCGCGAAATGAGAACAAAATTTCGCTGTATCAAACGTTATGCAAATTACACCTGGTTTCTCCCTTTCATCGACGTTCTTGGTCCGCTGGGTTCTCGACCCGCGACTATCTATGCTCACCGACCGGAGGAAAACGTATGATAACCAGCGAAAATGTAGACTTTTTTCGATCATCGTGCGCACCTAACTGCACCATGAAACAGATTGCAACGACTGTTAACGAACAGCTACATTTATTTAGGAGAGCAATTCGAGAATGGCAACTACGAGCGATTGCGGCATTGGAATGAAGGTACAAACAACATTTGATTTATCAGAATTTGCTAAAGTTTAATTGCAATCCGTACCGTACGGCGAAATCGGGCATCAGATTTCTGTCGCGCTTGCGAAAAACAAACGTTCACGGATTCCTTTAACGAGCAACGTTCCACTGTTTTCGTGTTAAAATCGTCTAATTAACCTCAACAACATGGAGGTATTTCACTTTTTTTTCGAGTAGATTGTGTAGTCGTCGTATTTGGCAATGTTACATGTACCACTGGGTCAAAATTAATAATCACTACGAGAGTTGAAAGAAGTGAAGATTTCTTTGTTGAACATATAATAATCTTGCACAGTGCTCTTCAACAACAATGATTTTTCAATAAATTATGAGGTGGTCCCAAATGTTCTTTCAAGATTATCGGATAATAAATCTATTATTTTATCTAAAAACATGTAAACACAAACATCGAAACACAACAAAATAAACATTTTGTGATTATTAAGACGCTCGTTGCGGATGACCTCAATATTTTTTAGACTAACGTAAATATCACTATCGAAAATGATATAACAACTCCCCTTAAGTAATGCAATACATTCACCAATATTTTCACCACAAATAACTAATTTTTCTAATTATAAAATGAAAGGATATGTGCATGTAGGTTTGTAACAACCAACATTTTTAATGGTAGGTCCACAGCGATCGAAATTCCTGCCACCTCACAATTAATTATCCGGGACGGTGTCGTGACAATATAAATCAAGAGAGATCCTCCCAAAATGTCCGAACGAATTTTTCGACAGCTTCACACAGAACTGTTACACGTCCCAGAAATCGTTCCCGTCGTTGCCCTTTATGGTCAACCACCTGATTCTATAACCCCCGGGAAGTGTGTCCGGGCACGTGCAACTCGTTCCGTTACGCAACCTCGTGGACGAAACACGTCGTTTCGGGGCAAGGTCGCTGGACCATTTCCAGGCTCGCGTGTCTCGCTCGATCGTGACTGTCCATGGAAGAACATTGCTCGCGACACCGACAGGTTAGACACGAATTTCAATTGTTAGACTAAAGCTGACTTTCTGATCCGTTAGCGGAGATTCGAACACTGAGACAGTAGATGATTGTAGGTCAACATGGAACAATGAGAAGATACAAGATCTGATCAACAAGTTCGGGGACTTTACGTAAAAATCGTTTATTATTAATCTTACCAATAGTTTCATAGGATCACTATGAAAAGGTAATATCCTTCTGTCTTTATACACATTTGAAATAATTTTTTTAGTTCTCGAAAATGACGTAATAAGATACCTCCCGCTGCGAATTTTTTTAGTACCCTTTAAGGTAAGGGAAGATAAAATTTTCTTTAAATTAATAATAAGTAGAAACGTATAACGATATGGGTCTATGGTTACGATGTGAAGACAAAGTAGCAATCGAGCCAATGGATTTCACATTTGAGCGACAGATGCATGCTTTCTTCGGATGTGGCTCACCTTTCTACATCCACTAGCACGATCGCTACTTCGTCTTCGCATCGTAATCATAGACCCGTGTTTTGTCCCCAGTTACGGTTTATTTTAAGAAATTTTCATCGTCTTCACTCAGATTAAGAAATCACAGGAGGAGGTTGCTTAC